GGGGGGGGGGAGTTTTCATGCTGATTATTTTAGTGGTAGCTCTTCTGGTGCAGGTGGCAGTGGAGGTGCGGGCTTCGGCTCGATGGATGAGGATGATCAGGACTATTGCTGGGCTAGTTCCCGAGCCAATGAGGACATTGTCTGATTCTGGCTTGGGGGAGATTTTGGATTTGGTATATTTCTTTTCCTCTTTTCTTTTATTTTTGGTATGTTTTCTTAGGTTAGATTTCTTGCTTTTTAGGTTAGTTTTATTGCTTTCTTATATATGAGAAAATAAAAAAAAAAATTGAAAAATACAAAAATACAAAAATACGTTCCAATGAATTATTGTTTTGATTCTTGGTATTTGATGATAGACATTGTGGATTAGTTGATCATGATTTGATGTTTGATTGCCCTGAAACCTAAACATGCGTCAATTTTGTCCAACTACTTGTGAATATAGTGCTTGACTAGTTGATTTGGTTAGGAATGTGTGATAGTTCCATAGTTCCTGGTATGTCAATGAATTTGAGTATTGGTTTGCATCTATTAGTAATATTTATGTGATTCATTATTATGCACATTGTGGAGGACGAAGACATTTGTTTTTTTAGGTAGCCTCCAAATATTGTAGATACATTTGTTCCCTTCTTGTTACCCATGTTGTTGCCTTGACTTTTTGTTGTTTTATTAGCCATATTACAAGCCTATTTTTCCCCATTGGTTACTAGTCCCAAGCTTGGCTTGGGGGAGCTATTAGTGAGTGAGGTGAGGGAGCTTGTAGTGTGCTTATTATTTGCACAGCTTGGGTGGGCTTTTGAGAAGTTGTTCTGTTGTTGATCATGTTTATTATTTATGAGTTTGAGAGTTATACTTTCTTGAAAAAAATAAAGCATGATGTTATGAAAAAAAAGAGAAGTTCAAGAAAAAAAAGTGAAAAATAAGTGAACTTCAATAAAAAAAAAAATAAAAAAAAATGGAAAAAATTGTTCAATGTTCAAATGTTCTAGTTGGAGGTTGATCAAAAGAAAAATGATAGAGCTTCAAAGGAAATTCAAGTTTGGAAATAAAGTTTGTTTATTCACTCCACTTCTTCATTATTATATCTTATGAGTGATACGTAAGAGTTGGGATTGTTTATTATGATTGAAGTATATTTGGTTGATGTTAGAGTTGGTTATGTAGGAGATGTTGATCATTATTTATTTTGATCATGGGTTTTGATAGGATTTTCTCCCTTACGCATAGCTTTTCTCTCACTTGTTCCTAAATGATTCCTACCCTTTACCCTAGCCTACATTACAAGCTTTAAAGACCTTCCGACCTTTGTGCATAGAATTGTATGAATGTGAAAGTGTTGCTTATCAATGCAAGTTATGATTTGACATATTTCGAGTCGACTAGTAGGATTGAGCGTTCATTGTTTTATACACACGAGAGTGTGAGTTGGGAGGGCATTGTTCACATAAAGGGGTTGGATGGAGAGCGATCGAGTACATCTTTTACTCGCCACAAAAAAATGAGAGTTGAGTGTGTGAGCACTAGTCTTGAATTCTATATGCTCTTGTGGTTTGCTCTGTTTGACAATTGTTAGGGAAGATTGGTAATTAGATGGATTTGATTGGTTGATTTTGAAGCATGTTTATTTGATTTACCCTGGATCGTTTGTGCTTGGTTTTTACTTTTGGGGTGAAGCATATTTATTGATTCATTGATGAGATCTTTGCTTAGGGACAAGCAAAGGTTTGGCTTAGGGGAGTTTGATGTGTCTATTTTATATAGTATTTTACCCCCGTCCCTTGGTCTTAATTAGTAGTGTTTTTGGATCTTTATAGCCACTTTTATTACTAATTGGTGTTTTATAGTGTTTTCGTAGATTTGGTTGACTTTTGCAGGGATTTATGCTTTTGGAGTATTTTCCCGAGTTATTTTGGAGCAATCACGAGCATTGGAGAAACACGACCAGATTCTATAGCCCAGGGCCGGTTAGAGCCATCGAACCGGTGATTAAGGGCTCGATATAGGTGATACCGGGGTATTTGGACCGAGTATTCAAGACCAAAAGAGGAAACCCAGATTGGCCCGAAGAATTGGAGCCCAATTGTAGTCCAAATAATGGCCCAAGAGAGCCGCCCGGCCAAAGAGGCTGGCACCCAGAGGCGCGCCCGGCCGGGCGGGAGAAGCTAAGGTCGGCGCCCGGTGACGCGCCCGGCCGGGCGCGAGAAGCGTATTGAAGAGCAAGAAGGCGCGCCCGATCGAGCGGTGCCTCGCCCGATAGGGCGCGTGTATTTATTAGGAGACGATTAGCGTCGTTTTAGTTTGTTCTAGTTTAGGATTTGTACGGAGTATAAATACTCCTCTGTAATACGATTTTCTCTCTCTCTCTCTCTTTCCTTTTACTCTCTTAATTGTTCTTTTAGATTTTATTTCTCTTAAACCTTTGTTCTTAATCTACTCTTAATTCCAGATTTATTTTGGTAACGATTTCTCTTCTCTTAATCTTAGTTGTTTATTTTATTTCTTTAATCATGTCTTACTTTATCGCTTTGATTAGTTTAGTTTCTATTATGTGTGAGTAGTTTTATTTCTAGGGTTTGTGGGGATCCATAAATAATATGAAGGGGTAATTTATTGTTGTTGATTATCAATGCCAGATTAATTTCCTATTGATTGATTTAATGCTATGTGACTAGATTTGCACAGATCTTTTATGCATGAGTTTGACAATATTGATTCGAGATTCGACAGATGAGAATTGATGTTTAGGTCTAGTTTCAATAGGCAGGTTAATTTATAAATGGTTAGGGTGAGATTTGAAAGTTGAGATTTATTACCGGTAAATTAATTGTGTGATTATAATACGTAGCAAAAGCCCTTTATAATCTGATTAATATTTGCATTGATGAATGATTATTATATTCAACCCTGGAATATTATTTATTGGTGAATCTATGCCCTAGATCTTTTTATATATTATTTTCTCCCTATTCTTGATCTCCGTAGTTTAGTTTATTATTCAAATATAAATTTTGGTTACCTCATAATCTAGATTATAATAGTTAATTAGGAATAGAAAGATCCGTTTCTCTGTGGATTCAACCCTACTTCTCTATCTACTTTAGTTAGAGGATTTAGGAATTACTTTTGATTTGGGGATATGACTTAACCCTGTCACTCGCCTAGTTGGGCGCGAGCAGCAACGTGTTGCTGGCTTGCTCGCCCCGTCGGGCACATGGGATTACAAGTTCTTAAGTGGCTTTTTGCCTTCTTCTCGGATTATTTTCTTGTTCTAGATTGATGTTTTGGAATTTAATCTACTTCCTTAATTCTAATTAAACTCTCTTCATTTTCATCTCCCTCCTCTTTTCATCTATCCATGATTATGCTGTATATTCATGGTGCAAAAATCAGAATAACGCACAAAAAATAGCTAAATACATTTTGTTCTTAGGACATAAGTTTACATTGACTCCACCTCTTACTCTAAAGTGCCATAGTGTGAGAGTGGTGTGTAACCTTAAGGGACAATCTGACGATCACAATTGTGCACCCTGGTTACGCCGGAATTCGTTTTCAAAGGCAGTGATTTATCACGCCACACCGAATTTCCTCTATTATCTTGTTCTTGTTTATTTTCGCTGACTTTTGTATTAGACACCATTTTTACAACATGGGCACGCCTTTTTATATTAGAGAGAGATATTTAAAGAGAGAGATTTACAGAGCAAATTATATCAATCTAAATTTGAGGATTTCATAGATAAAGATGAAAGTGAAATTTTTTGATTCAATTAATCTTTTTAATTTGATTAACTATGTTTTTCAGAATTTTATCATTATATATGTTATAATAATTACATTGTTTTGCATGATTATCGTGAATGTCATTGTTTCCTTTCAATTTTGATATTTATTGGATTTGTATATTTATTATGAGACCTGTAGATCAATTTCCGGGCCAAATTAAGCTTGAAGATGATGTTCTTTATATAGTGTGATTATGTTTCTTATAATTATTAGTTACGTTGTAAAATCAATGTTCATCATATTTTAGTGTATATGTTCATTTAAATTTTTTTAAGGGTTTTATCATTTTTTCAATCCACATTTTTTTAATCGGAATGGAATATAATCTTTGAGTATGACCATTATGTTCTATAGGTCTAAATTATATGTTCTTTACGTTACAAAAAATGTTTTGTAAGATGTGTAAAAAAACATAATTAAAAAATAACTAGGTTTTTTCCAATAATACAATGATGTTCATTTCAATTGCTTTATATGTTCTTCAATATTAATATTCTTTTGGGCATTTTTGAAAAGTATATTGTAGCTGGGGTAGGCCATGGCCCCCTATGATTCAATTAAAAATTAAATATACATGAATTTATACCTTATACATTGTAGCTAAGTTGGTTTACCTTGAGGAAATTGAAGGAGGTTTATTCCGGAGACCAAAGTTCGACTCCTAGTATGTACTAATAAATGATTTGTATTTGATCTTGGCCTTCTTAATGTAAAATTTCTGGTTATGCCACTGAATTATCCCATATGCTCTTTGAATTTGGCTCGTATGAGTATTTATGTTCTTTTGTTTTATCCTTTGTGTTTTTTTTCTATTACGAAAAATAGTAAAAATGATCTCAACTTTTGCTTGTTCGCTCAAAATAATGCCAACTATAAATTATTTTTAAATAATTTGAATTTGGGGGTCATTTGCTTTTATTGGTCCCATTGACTAGTAACTTGTTAAAGAGGTATGTAATTTTTTTTTTAATTTAACACGTGTCACCACATGAAAATGAAAACTAATAAAAAGCCCCACCCACGCAAATCCACCACCACCGTTCTAGCAGCCCCCATAACCATGATATGTGTCACGTCTTAAACTTTTGTGTCAAAAAAAAATGTGAAGCTGAATTTATGGAGGGAGAGAAAATATTTTTTGGAAAATGATATTTTTGAAAAGACTTCATCAATTAATGCGGGACATGGGTATAAATTTAATGAAATCAAGATTAGAGTATATTGCATTCTTTTGCGAGGGAATGTGCGACACAATTACCATCTCGCTTTACATGGGACCAACTAACCGAATTAAACTTCGTACACATGAAGAGAATATCTCCTAGAACAATATCAATATATGTTGTGTTCCTTGCTCCTGTTGACAATCGATCAATGACTAGCTTGCAGTCTGACTCTACAATGATATCCTTGAGCTTATATCTGCTTCCCAACACCAAAGCACGAAGTGTGGCCTTAGCCTTTGCAACCTCAGGTGGCCAGAATGCTCTGACTCTTCTAGAGGCTGCCCAAATTACCTGACCCTTATTGTCCCTAGCAACCATTCCCAGCCCAATCCAACCTTCGATCGCAAGAGAAGCATCGGTATTGATCTTGACAATTTCATTTGGAGGAGCACACCAGCGAGAAGGGCTACGGCTAGTATACATTCCAATAGTTTTGTATATTCTAGCAGCATATTTGTCAAAATCCTCAACCCACCTGAACACTCTCTGGGACAATATGGCATTTGGTGTTGTTTTATTCTCAAATACTTTTTGGTTCCTCTCACCCCAAATGCACCAGGCCAAGAACATACCACGTTGCTGCACTTTTTTTTTTATCAAGATCCTTCCAACTTACCACCAAGTCACAAATTGACACAACCCTGCCCTAATATGCCATTTGCTCACATTCACAGTCCACCCACAAATCCTTAAAATGAGCGCAAACAACAAAGGTGTGCTCGACAAATTCAACCTCATGCCCACACCAAGGACAAGATGCGTCCTCAACCAAATGTCTATGAAGTAACAGACTACGGGTAGGGAGTGTACCTGTACATAGGCGCCAGAAAAAGTGCTTCACCTTTGGTGTAACTGCAGCCTTCCAAATTTCCACCCAAGCTTGGTGGAAGTTATCAAGATCACACCCTTTACCTAGGAGATATGTGGTTTTTACAGTGTACTCCCCACCCTTCGAGAACACCCATGTTAATTTATCTTCCTGCCCAATTTCACAAAGAGGAATAGCTAAAATGTTGCGCATATTCCTCTCGTTGAAATGTTCATCAATTACCTCATAGCGCCTGTAGGGAATATTTCAAGCATTAACCCCTAGCTTGAACCCCACTGTGATCATACACTAAAGTACAGTGGCGTCCAAAGGGAAAGAAGATAGAGCAAAAGTGTCGCCAACAAGTTTTAGGAACTTGTAAACCGTTCACGAGGTGAAGGTTACACCCCTTAACGATCCAAGAGATCGTCAACTCCAACAGGTCTGGAACCAAGACTGGTAGTTCGGGGATGAAGGTACAAATCCAATCTAAAAGAGATTGAACCTACCCTAATAATAGGCCTCTACTTTATTCTGATCGTACTCATGTGCGCTTTCTGATTAACATGCAATCAATAGGATTACCCTAATTAAACCTGTTTACCTATGTTGGTTGAATATTAATGCACAAATAAATCTATTATTGGCGATCACTTGAATTATAATCAAATTAACCCTAAACAAGATTATTAATTATCTTATATAAGCGTGATTACAAGTACCAATTCCCTTTAAACATGCATAAAAGGTGTGATCAAGCAATAACAATAAATATCAAGCAACATAATAATAATCAAATTATAACAATAATAATAATTATAATAATAATAATTAAAAAAGTAATCATAATCATGTTAAAGCATAATAATAGTAAGATCCTAGGCATGATAATAACAAGATTAATAACAAACCCTAGCATGTCACTAAACATCAAAAATCAAATATATAGCCCTAACATGATACTAACATGAATATTAGGAAGAACATAAAAGACATCATACTTTTAATCATACTTGATATTAAAGTTACCCTAGACATGATACCAGGAATTTATTGTTGTCACCCTAAACATCAAATTAAGGAAAACATCCTAACATGATACTAGGAATCAAAATAACAATCTAAGCATGATTTCTATATCATAATATTAATTAAACCATTAAAGTACTTACTTGGATGCCTCGTACCTCTTTCTAATAACAAAATACACACGTTAGTAACTTCAAGGAAAATAATAAACAACAATTAAATTAAATAACTAAATAATTGAAAGAGAGATTTGGGACCAAACCCTCAGAAATTAAAACCTTTCATGTCTAGGGCGAAGGCAACTTCGAATATGGCTAGGTGTTTCTAAGTCTTGCGAATGCGAAATTTTTGTATTTGAGAGAAGGCTAGTTTAGAAAAGAGAGAGAGAGAGAGAGGATAATCAAGAGAATCTTGATGAGAGTTGGTGAATGAATCGAGAGAATTGGTGAATGAAAACGGAGTTTTTAGGAAGTTATTTATAAAGAAAATCAGCCAAAAAGATAAAAAATCAAAACAATGTTCTGACGCGTAAAACGAAATTAGCGCCAGACGCTAACGCTAGCGCCAGGCGCCAAGCTTAGCGTCAGGCGCTAATGCTGGCGTTTGACGCTGACTAAGAAATTGACGCGTTTTCTAAAACCAGATAGAAATTGTCATACAGGAGGATTAAAATCGTATTTTTCTCAAAAACATTCTTTTATTCTGATTAAAACTCTAAAAGTCAACAAAAATTAGTTTATCAATGCTAATTGAATTAGGAATGAAAAGAACCTTCTAGAAGAATCTAGAAGATTAAAACCATTTCTAATAGCATTAGGAATGATAAATCTATATTAGGCCCTCCTCTAGATCATTGGGCCGCATATAAGGCTCAAAACGGGCCCAGTTCAGTAAATTGGTCATAACTTCCTCAATATTCATCGGAATTGGGCTTATAATATATTGTTGGAAAGCTCTTTTCAAACCCTATCCAACTACACTACTATTGGACCCATATCATGGACCAACCGAAGTGGATTGCCTGTTTTCTTAAAATAGGTTTTCAAAAACAGAGAGAAGAGAAAAGAAATTAAAACTATCCGCAACACTAAACTTTCCACACTTTCACTTCATTCGATTATGATTCGACGTGAAAGGTACTCATCACTGGGTTTGGTTTTGGGGAGACACAAATGGGTGTCTACAACGTCACTCCTTCTTTTCCATATCAATGATATCATTCACCACCTGTAACTCAGGGACTGCAGGACTCGAAATAAAGCGTCCCTCTTGATCAGCGACCCAAGGGTCATGCCATAAATTTATCATTCGACCATCTCCCACTCTCCAAATAATTCCCTCCTTGATAATAGCTTTCGATGACCAAATGCTACACTAAGAGTAGCTACCCGCAAGACCAAGGGAAGAGTCAAGGAAATCAGAATTGGGGAAATATTTCGCTTTAAAGACCCGCCCTAATAATGAGTTTGGAGCTTGCACTAAACGCCATGCTTGTCTACCCAATAGAGCATCATTAAAGACACTTAAGTCTCTAAATCCCATACCACCCAAGCACTTTAAAGTGCACATAGCATCCCAGTTTTTCCAATGTGTTTTCCTCTTCCCATCCGACGAACCCCACCAAAACCTTGCCATGGCCGAGTGAATACTCTGAATAATTGAGCTTGGAATTTTGTATACTCCCATCAAATAATTCGGGATTGCCTGAACAACAGATTTTAGGAGAATTTCCTTCACAGCTCTCGTGAGGAGTTTTTCTTTCCACCCTTGAAGTTTTTTTTCAATTTTTGTCAACTAGAGCTCCAAATACAACTTTCTTCGATCTACCTACAATTGTAGGTATGCCAAGATATTTCTCATGTCTATCAACTTGTCTCATATTCAAAATACTCATCAAATCTCCCCTAATTTCACTGCTTACACCTCTACTGAAGGACACCTCTGATTTTTCATAGTTAATTTTTTGCCCGGATGCCTTTTCATACTGGTTAAGTATATCAACTACAATTTGACATTCCTGTCGAGAAGCCCTTGTAAAGAGTAAGCTATCATCTGCAAAGAGAAAGTGAGAGATCTCTGGCCCATTGCGACAAGCTTTAGCCCCGTGAAGTTTCCTCTCCCGAACTTTACTCGGCAAGAGAAAACATCTACCACTAAAATAAAAAGGTAAGGAGAAAGGGGATCTCCTTGTCGAAGCCCTCTAGTGGGATTCACCGAGCCACATACTCCTCCATTGATCACGAACGAGTAAGAAACAGACGAGATACAATCCATCAACAGATTCACCCATCTCCCATCAAAACCCATAGTGAGAAGCAGTCTTCGCAAAAAAACCCCATTCAACCCTATCATAAGCTTTGCTCATATCAAGTTTCATAGTAACAAGCTATTTGTAACGGGCAAATCTTTATCCGTTACAATTAAGATATTCGTAACGGGTAAAATAGTGTCCGTTACGAATACTTATTTATTCGTAACGGGCAAAATAAGGTCCGTTACGAATACATATGCATTCGTAACTGACAAAATAGTGTCCGTTATACTATATTACACGTAGATGACCAAACATGGCCCAACTAATGAGAGGAGAGCCCAATACTCGGCTTTTTAGGGTTTCACTTAACAGCCGTCACACCTCTTTCTCTCTCATCAGTCCCTCACTCTCTCTCTCCTCTCCTCTCCTCTCCTCTCCTCCCTCCCCGTCATTCACCTCTTTCTTTCTTTTCAAACTCAGGCCCTCTCATTTAGAGGAGCAACGAGAAGACCGACGGTTTCATACATTAACTCCCAAGCGGCGTCGGTTTTGGGCGGAGGTGTAACCGGCGATGACGGAACTCTTGTTCGAAAACCCACTCCGGTTTGACCAGGGTCCGAACCCGGTAAGCGTCGATTGTGGCGACATTGAGAACAACCAAGCCCGTAGGCTTCTTCCTCTTTAGATCTAAGTCGTTGAACGAACCGATGCTAGGTAAGATTTTTCTCTTTGTAATCATCGAATATTAAGTTAGTAGATTCAACTTTATTTTTTGAAATTTATGTTGTTTTTAATTGATTTAAGTTTCTGGGTACTGGATTTTTGGGATTTTGTGCTGAATTTTTGCAGATTAAGGAATGATTATTGTCTTTTTTTAGATCTAAAGTTTTTGATTTTATTCCAATTCTATCTTTATTTTGTATTCTAATCTCCTTAATTAATTTTAGCTCTCTAATTTGAGTGATTTATGATTTTTCATCTTTAGTTTAATTTCTTAGTAGGATTTTTTGTTTCGCTCACAGGTTCATTTCGATTTCCTTCTCTTTTGCATTCTTTTCATTCTTCGATTTGATGTGCTCGTTGTTTTGTTCTTCGCATTAAATTTTATAGGATTTGTAATTGGTTATTGTTCGAGAATTAATTAGGTTTTTTAGTGATTTAATAGATTTCTAATGTGATTATTGATTCAGCATTTGATCTGATTTTCAGTTCGTGTTGTTAGTGAATTTGTGAAATCATGCATTCTCATCATTGGTAAGATATGAGAATTTCTCGTCTAGATGTTTGATTCTTAGTGTTGATTTTAGGATTTTTGATTTTGGATTGTTTAATAGAATGACTATTTTAACTAATCATTTTTTATTTTAATACCATGAAGATTTGTGCATCTCATTTAAGTTCATGCAACCATGATTAAGCTGCTGTTATTATTTATGTTATTATCAGAAGGCTATTAAGCGATCAATGAAGTCTTAGTATTTGTTGATGACCTCACTTTCTCTTCTCTTTAGTGTACAAATGCAACCTATATGATCACTAAAGTCTGTTTTTCCAATTACCATTTGCAGCCAACTCGACAATAATCATTTTGATGGTGCTGAGATTCCAGAATCATATCAAAATTTGTCCAGATTGGTAAAGTTGTAAGTGGTTGGAATCATTTTGTGCGTAATTATCTTTTATTGAATCTTGATTATGTTTGTGGAATTGAACGGTTTAACAATTGATTTTAACTTTTGATTAGCATGATTTTGCGTGAATAAACCAGGATTTGGAGTTTCTGTTGTTTTGAATAATGGTTACAAATTGAAATTTGTAACTGAATTTTGATTTTGTGCTCCAAGGTTTGAGGATGATGTATGGATTGAGATAGCCAAGTACCTAGATGGAAGGTCTCTGGTGATGCTTGCCACTACCTGCAAATGGTTCTACAATACTCTATTACCAGAATGCGTGTGGAAATATGCCAGTTTACGTGATCTAGCAGTTCCTGGTCCAGGAGACGTCTCTTTTAGCTGGAAAAAACTATATGGTTAGTTTCTTGTTTACCCTTTCCTTTTCTGGTATTGAAGAGTGATTCACTTGGTTTATGTTCAACCAGTTTAAATGTAACTAGCATACTGAAACTACAAAATCCTATGCTTCTTCTATTTTGGATTAAATAACTTCTTGTACCTAAAACATAGAAACTCATCTGATAATGTCTTAAAGCCAATAAGTGAACAGATTACCGTGGTTAAAATTATTTGTAACATGCATGCCTGCTTCCATTTTCTTACTAACTTTATCCATAATCATCAATTGGGAAGGGAATATATGAGTATCCAATTGAGATTCAGTCTGCCAAAAACATGTTGAAAGAAGTTCCTGATAACAAAGAATTGCTGGACAAGATCAACTCCAAGATCAAGGCACTTAGGTACCATATTTGGTCATATTACTGGTTTGATTATACCCAGTTAAATAACATATACCGCTATAAAAATGAAAAATACTCTCACACTGCTTTAAACAAGTTCAATTTATCTCTGGAGTCAATTCCTGATTGGTTATTCGAGTTCATGCCCTTACGAGGTGGTTATTTCATTGGCAGTGTCAGCCAGCTCGCATGGATTTCAGGTGGTTCTTACTTGGTAACTGCATTGCTATCTTAAGCTAAAATTGTATATATTATTTTTTTTAACTTTGATAAATAATATAGGCATGTTGTGTTTGATTTTTTATTAGTGTAGTTTGCATTTTTTTGCTTCAGATCTATAGATTTTTTTTTCCTGATTTTGGATCTTTCTTTGCTAGTTTAGGTATGGTGATTAGTAAACCGAGAGTACGTCAAGATATGCTACTCAAATCTTCTCCAGGGGCTTCAACAGTTCAACACATTTGGTAGTGTTTCCTCCAGTTCCTCCTCCGCTGCCCCCTTTGCTAAAATCACGCCAAAATTAAACAACAATAGGAACAACCCCAGAAAGAACAATAATCTGCTGGTGTTGCTGAAACAGTTTCGAATTATGAGCAAACGAGAGAGCAACGAATTGAATTTGAATCTAATCTTAGTTATAGCAAGTGCATGACTTGTTTTTAATTTCTTTAATTGATAAAATCATTTGAATGTTGTATAGCTTTTGCTAATTGAATTTGAACTGTATATTTGTATAAATCATTATTTAAAATTATTTATTTTTTGTAATTGATAATTTATAATAGTAATTCAAATTTGATAGCAGATTAGAAGGTATCACCTGCTGGATTTTTTTTTTTTAATTTGGGCTCAATTGTATTCGTAACGGGCAGTTAGATTGCCCGTTACAAATAACGGGGTTATTCATAACGGGCAATCAAACTGCCCGTTACAAATAACGGGTTATTTGTAACGGGCAGTCTGATTGCCCCTTACGAATAACGGGTTATTCGTAACGGGCTGTCTGTCTGCCCGTTACAAATAACATATCCTATCCTTAACGGCAGCATACGTAACGCCCGCTGCCCGTTACGGATAGACTGTTTTTGCCCGTTACGGATAGCTATTTTTCCACTAGTGAATATTAGGAAGAATATTTTTGAGTCTAATCACAATCGACTTAGAAACTAGCTTATATAGCACATTACATAAAGCAATAGGGCGAAATTAAGCAGTAGTAGTCGGTTTGTCTACTTTCGAAATAAGGACAATATTAGTAATATTAACATGACAAGGAGAGATAAAGCCATGGAGAATATTACTAACAAAAAAAGCAATGTCATAACCAATAATATGCCAAAACCGCTGATAAAAAATTGCATGCATACCATCCGGGCCAGGATCTTTACAGGGGTGCATTTGTTTGAGAGCATCGTAAATCTCCTCCTTTAAGAAAGGTCGAGTGAGCTCCCTGTTTGCTTCCTCCGAGATCACAGAATTCATAGAGCTAAGTACTTCATCAATAATACTCTCGTCGGGATTGGAAGAAGTGAACATAGAATCAAAATGGATGGTGATTATCTTTTCAATGCTTTCCTCATCCTCATGCCAAGTACCCTCCATATCCAAAATACCCCGTATCAAATTTTTCTTTTTGCGCTGCGATGCCTTATGATGGAAGTATTTAGTATTTTTATCTCCATCCCGAATCTCAGCTACCCTGCTTCTGATGTACCAATAGGCTTCTAGCTTTTCATTATAATCATCCAGAATTTTTTCAAGCCTTGTACACTCCGCAATATTCCCAGCTGAACTCCTCCTTCTTTGGGCCGTATGAAGTGCCTCCTCGGTTTATGCTATTTTGTTCTCCAACTTATGAAATTTCTCACTACGTACTCCATTTAACAAGCCCTCTCGCCATTGCTGCTATACGGGTAGGAGTACCCTCCCCTGCTGAGCTTTCCCAAATTTGTTTCACCGTGGCCTCACAAGTTTAATCTAAAAGCCAACTTGTCTCAAATTTGAAGCTCTTTTTCTTCTTATTCTTCTTTTTCCCTTGGGAAACCTTCTGTGAAAGCAAAAGAGCAGTGTGGTTCGATCTATAGCGAACAAGATGCTCCACCTTTGAATCCGGAAATATCCCAAACCAAGATTGAGAAGCAATGAAACGATCAAGCCGCTCCCTCACTTTAGTCTCCACCGAATTGCCTCTTTCCCAAGTGAACCAACTCCCCTCAAACCCCAAGTCCCTAAGATTACAATCATCCATGGCATCACGGAAATTAGCAATCTCCCTTCTCTCTCTCCCAACACCCCCTTCAATTTCGGCATAACTTAGGATTTGTTGAAATCCCCCCTGAAAAGAATAGGCACATTGACATTAGAGCACAACTGTCAAATAAGCAGCCACGTTTTGTGTTTTTCCTCTTCTTTCGGCCACCCATAAATGCCTACAAACCTCCAAACTCCCCTTGTGCTTCTTACATCACCACAAATGTGGTTTTGAGAAAAGGAAACAAGCTAAAAATTCACCCCTTCCTTCCAATAAATACACAACCCACCCGCTTTTCCCATACTAGCCACGCCAAATGCATTCGGATAGCCTAAGTGATCATTTATTCCTTCTACCTCAATCTTATTTATCATTGTCTCTAATACAGAAATTATATCAAGGGCAAATTTGTTGCTCCACTTTCGAAGCTGTCGAACCGTCAGGGAATTGCCCAAACCCCAGCAGTTCCAGCTCAGCACAATCATTCGGAGAGGCGGGGTTGGGTTGAACCAACCTCCGCCGCCATTGAAATATCCATATTGCTAACATCATGCTGCCTCGATTTTTTCTCACCACAAGCACCATCATCTAGAACATCACTCCTCTCACTGAGGCTTCTTTTTGACAAAAGAGATGCTGCATATTCTGCCTTGCCTTCTTGTTGAGCACGAGCAACCCTCTTCCACTTACGGTCCCTTTCTTTAACACCCTTATTCGACTCCGCAGCTTCAAGATTGGAGATATTTATCAGAGCTTGTGTCTTATTGGAGGCATCACATTCTATCATGTTCAGAGAGGGTGTGCCAAAGACAAAAGTTTGAGTGTCTTCAGTAGCATGGAGCGCCATATCCTTAGTTGTAGGCTCAGCAATAACATTAACCTTTGCACTTATTGTTTGCACCAAGTCTAAACTACCCAAATTTCCTTCCTTCTCCCTATCAACTCTTTCTTCTTGTCGAGGCTTCATAGTAAAGGTGAGTTTTTTGGGCAGATTTTAATCTTTCCACTTCTTCTATTTCCCTCGAAAGACCCTTCCTTGGAGTGGCTTTCAAGTCAGTACTCCAACCAAGTTGGTCCTGTCTATCTTCCTCTGCCACATTGTGGAAATCTTTCTCAGAGTGTCCCATTATTCCGCAAGCAAAACAGAAGAATGGCAGCCGTTCATAAGCAAAATCAACTCTTAATTCTCTTCCCTTATGATCCTTGATCATCTGGAACCATCGCAACGGTTTAGAGGTGTCAAGCATAAGTTTCACACGGCGATAACGCCCAATCCCTAGAACATCCTCCTCTATTTCTATCACATCTCCCATTCCTTCTACTAGGGTTTTGTGACAGGCTAAAGTCGTATCACCTAATCAAAAGTATTACCTAAGTCCTCTAACTAATGAAGATAGGGAAGTAGGGTCAAATCCACAGGGAAACAAGTCTTTCTATTCCTAATTAGTTATTATAATCTAAATTATTAGGTAACCAATTTGTTATTATAAAGGAGAACTAAACTACTAGTAGGAGTAAAAGTGGGAAGGAATAAAAGTAGGAGGAAAAACAATGAATAAAAGAACTAGGGCATAGGTTCACCAATAAATAATATTGCAGGGTAAGACATAATAATCAATCATCAATGCATCAATTAATCAGATCATAAAGGGCTTTCGCTACGTATTACAATCACAAAATTAATTTACCGGTATTAAATCTCATCTCTCGAATCTCGACTTAACCATTTATAAATTAACCTGCCTATTAAAACTAGACCTAAACATTAATTCTCATCTCTCGAATCTCGAATCAATATTGTCAAACTCATGCATAAAAGATCAGACCTAATCTAGTCACAGAGCATTAAATCAATCAATAGGAAATTAATATAGCATTGACAATCAACAACAATAAATTACCCCTTTATATTATTTATGGATCCCCATAAAACCTGGAAAAAAAACTACTCACGCATAATTAAATCTACACTAATCAAAGCAATTGAACAAGACATGATTAAAAGCAATAATAATAAAGCTAATAAGCAAGCAATAATAAAAAAAAACTAGAGAAAAGCAATTAGAGAAGAAGTAAAAGGAAACAAGGTATCTGACAATAATTTAAAACTAATCTAAAACTAATGATAAACGAAACTAAAGTAAGACTAAAACTCCTAAAAACTACTTACTGCCAATTTAGCCTCCCTTTATATAATAAAGAGGAGTTATAATCCAGGTTAACTTCTAACCCACTACCAAAAAGCCCCGTACTACTGCCAATTTCCATATTAGTGGGCTTTTTATTATATCCAAGCCCAAAACTAAAATAATCGGCTATATACAATCTCGAAGTCATACTCGCCCGATCGGCCATTGGGCTGCCCGATCGAGCCCCACCATTTCACACGCCCCCAACAGCTGGCTTATTTAGAGGTTAGGCTTCTTCCATCTTGAATTTGTAACTTGTGTTTAATATAAGTTGGCCCAATTCGCTTCTTCTTGATATCCAAGTACTTAACTTGCAGTTAGTACTCCAAAATGATTTGAGCCCTCAATAACCAAACCAAAATTTCGTTAACTTGGTCTTGGGCTTTAAATATACGGTCATAAAATACGGTCCAACTCTAATGTCTTCGTAGTGGCTCAATAAGCTCGGGAATTGTCATAAATCTGCATATTCCTACAAAATAATACCAACTCTACAAAGACACTAGAAAATATATATTAGTAATAAAAATAGCTCTGTAGAGCTCAAATAAGCACAAATATGACCGTTGGACGGGGAATAAAAATATACATAAAATAGAATTATCATTTTGACATGAGAATCAGACCTGCAATTGAAAGGGAGATTTTTTATTCGCACCCAAAAGGGTGACTCCCTGAGAACCACCTTCTCTGGTTGTTCATCACCGTCTATTTCTTTTAGAAGAACCAACATATTGTCGAAGCACCATGGCCTTCCTTTAATACCTTCTCAAGATCTTTCCAATGGAAAAACTGGAAAGCAAATAGATTAGGACTAAGAACCCTAATCGCTAGTCCATGAATCGGAGCCCAAATACTGGTAATTGTTTTCTTGAAGGCCTCGACATTGTAAGATCTCCGGATTAATAATCTTCCCACAAGCATTAAGGACATATTATTTTGCTTTGTTTCAATCGCAATGGCCCATAAATCAATTGGTTTTTTCTCCTCTTCACGAATGCAAAGTTGAGAATAAAGGTTCGCAATTTCATCATCCATCTTTGAGGATAATTCACGATCAATTACAGGTAGCAGCCACCGAAATCCGTTAGAGTCCTATCTCGAGGATAAATGTCGCTCTTTTTCGCAAGAGGGTTTTCCCTTTCTTTCGAGGGAGTGATTCACTTATTATATTGCATTCTTTTTGTAAACCCTTTATGTTCTTTGGTTAGGAATGTTTCTTCTTCAAAATATAATATGGAGTATGATCTTTTCGCCTTTTTTTTAGTTTGTTCAGTTCATACGTTTTATTTTATTGGGTATGTCGTTTTTAACCGGG